TCCAAGCTGGAGTGCAGTGGCGTGATCTTGGCTCACTGCAGCCTCTGCCTCCCAGGTTCTAGCGATTCTCCTGCCTCAGCCTCCTGAGTAGCTGGGACTGCAGTTGCCCGCCACCACCCCTGGCTAATTTTTATATTTTTAGTAGAAATGGGACTTCACCATGTTAGCCATGCTGGTCTCGAACTCTTAAGTTCAGATGATCCACCCACCTCAGCCTCCCAAAGTGCTGGGATTACATGCTTGAGCCGCCACTCCTGGCCCCTTCCAGACCTTTTTTTGAGCCTGAATATGCATGCAGTACACACATTACTCTTCATTAAATAATGTAGTCATATCAAATGTTGCCTGATTTTAAAAACGTAACATACTATGAGACCCCTTTTTCTGTCAGGCAGCCTCATGATATCCCTAGGATCTCCATCCATTGTAGAGATGCAGCACCATTTGTTGAAACAATCTCCCAAGGATAACTATTTAAGTTGCTCCCCCCATTTTTAACATTATAAACAGCATTCTTGTATATGCAGTGTTGTTTCGTTTCTGATTATTTTCTTAAGGTGAATTTTTAAAAGAGGAATTTCTAGGTTAAAGATCGATTTAAGGACCGGACGCGGTGGCTCAAGCCTGTAATTCCAGCACTTTGGGAGGCTGAGGCAGGTGGATCATGAGGTCAGGAGTTCAAGACCAGCCTGACCAACATGGTGAAACCCCGTCTCTATTAAAAATACAAAAATTAGCTGGCTGTGATGGCACGCACCTGTAATCCTAGCTACTCAGGAGGCTGAGGCAGGAGAATTGCTTGAACCCGGGAGGTGGAGGTTGCAGTGAGCTGAGATTGCGCCACTGCACTCCAGCCTGGGTAACAAGAGCGAAACTCCGTCTCAAAAAAAAAAAAGAAATCTACTTTCTGAATCCTACACGCTTAACTTTACTTCCTGGTGGAAATCACGTAAAAGTTATATACATTCTTCCAGATGTGTAGAATTGGTTTTTTATTGTTGTAAAATATAACATCATAAAATGTATCACCTTTGCCATTTTATAGTTTGTTTTGTTTTTTGAGACAGAGTATCACTCTGTCACCCAGGCTAGAATGCAGTAGTGTGATTATAGCTCACTGTAGCCTTGACCTCCTGGGCTCAAGTGGTCTTCCTGCTTCAGCCTTCCGAGTAGCTGGGAGTACAGGCATGAGCCACCATGCCTGGCTGAGTTTTTTTTTTTTTCTTTTGTAGAGACAGGGTCTTACTATGTTCCCCCCAGACTGGTTTTGAACTCCTGGCCTCAAAGGATTCTCTCACCTCAGCCTCCCAAAGTGTTGGAATTAAAGGCATGAGCCACTGTACCTAGCCACCTTAACCATTTTCAAGTGTGTAGTTCAGTGCTGTTAAGTACATTCACTTATTTGTGCAACCATCATCACTATCCATCTCCAGAACTTTTTCATCTTGCAAAAATGAAACTCCATACCCGTTAAACACTAATCTCCCATGCCTTCTACTCCTGATCCCTGGCAGCCACCATTCTACTTTCTGTCTCTATGAATTTGACTAGGTACTTCACATATGTGGAATCATGGGATATTTGTCCTTTTATGACTGACTTAGTTCACTTAGCATGATGTCTTCAAAGTTCTTCCATGTTTTGGCACATATCAGAATTTCTTTCCAAGACTGAGGTATTATTTTATTCTATGGATATAATCCATTTTGTTTATCAGTTCATCTGTGGTTGGACGTTTCAGCTTTTTTCCATCTTTTGGCTATTGTGAATAATGCTACAATGTACATTGGCATACCAATACTTGTTTGAGTCCTTGCTTTCAATTTTTTTAGATATATCTCCAGAAGTAGAATGGCTGGATCATATGGAAACTCCAATTTTAATTTTTTGGGTAATTGCCCTACTGTTTTCTACAGTGGCTGCATTGTTTTGCATTCCCGTCAGCCATGCACAAGAGTTCCAACTTCTCCATGTCCTCACCAACACTTGTTATTTTCTGTTTCTTTGTTTTGTTTTGCTTGTAGCCACCCTAATGAGTATGAAGTGGTATCTCACTGCAGTTAGAGTTGGTGTTCATGTTGCCAGTCACTAAGGAAGAAGGGAATTTTTATTCTCGTCTTGGAATGATGAGTTGGGAAACAGTCTTAGAATCACCATTAACTAGCTGATCAGTCATGTAATCTCAAGAGACTACAAATTGCTTAAAGGAGGAATACAGCCCCACTGTTCCCATAGACCCAAAGAAAATGAGTGGAGTACCTAGGTAGTTACTTGGTTTCAGAGGTTTAATGGTGACCAGGACTGCTGCTTTTCATGTCACCTCATCCACTTACCTGAATCTATAGTCAAAGGTTTATTGGAGAGTAGATTTAAAACCGTTCTTTTGAAAAAGATGAATTCCTCTTTTGTACAACTGTTGTTAATAATTCTAAGTGATGTTATCTGATTCATCTTACGTAGTGGATAACGCTAGTTTTCTGATCAATTTTTTTGTTCTCTTTACCTTCTACTCTGGAATTCTTTAGGGGTAGAAAATGAAAGTCCGTTCTTTACAAATTATTTGCTGAATTGTTTACTTATTTAATAATTCATTTGGGCTGGGCGAGGTGGCTCACGCCTGTAATCCCAGAACTTTGGGAGACCAAGGCAGGTGGATCAGGAGGTCAAGAGATCGAGACCATCCTGGCCAGCTCAGTGACTCAGTGAAACCCCATCTCCACTAAAAAAAAAAAAAAAAAAAAAAAAAAAAAAGAATTAGCTGGGCATGGTGGTGTGTGCCTGTAGCCCCAGCTACTTGGAAGGATGAGGCAGGAGAATCGCCTGATCCCAGGGAGCAGAGGTTGCAGTGAGCCGAGATTGCGCACTGCACACCAGCCTGGTGACAGAGTGAGACTCCTTCTCAAAAATAATAATAATAATTCAGCTGGTAGCCTTTAGTGGTGTGTACTAAAGTCTAAGTATTTAGTTGTGACCCTCTTTTGTTCTTTACTT